AGAATTTTTCAATTCGGTTTAGTAGTTTCGGAGCCTATTCAATACAAACAAACAAACTTTTCCTCTATACGTGGCTATACGTATAACCGTCTTCTCGATTGAAAAAAAAATTTCAATCGAGAAGACGGTTATAGGCTCTCTATTGCCTGGAATCCAGTGATTGGTTTAATTAAACAAAAACGAAAAACGCGATCAAAAAGTGTCTTAAACGTACTTAAAGGTACTGTGAGTACAGTTTGCCGAGATGAATATCGAGCGAGTTCCAGTAGTAGCAACAAACGAAGACGTGTGAAGGTAGACGCATATGTCTGCCCATAAAAATATTTCATTTTCCATCTACCCGCTGCTCTTCAGTTTACCCGTGATCATGGTGGTTGAAACACTACAGAAATATCGGGAACTCAGCAAATAAATATAAAACGTGGTAAGATCCCGTGATTTTTACTAATTATATGTATAAATAATAACCGCGTCAAGTTTAAAATAGTATAAAACTTTTCCTCTTTATAAGAAGTTAGTATAGATTCTGTAGAATTAGGAAATGTCTTTAAAAGTGAATAAATTAAGTTGTAACATAACATTATTTCTATTAATTTTTAATAATAAATCGTTACCGTTAACCAATCATAACTTGAAATATTAGTACTGTCTCTACAAACATTACCTCGGCCCTTAAGAAACCTTAATATACCATTCGACTAAAACCCTATGTTGCATTCTCTAGAGGGATCCTCGGCAGGAAATTCAATCCACAACTTGAGTATTGGCGAAAGGAAATTCCTCTGAAACCGCATCGTACGTGAGCATTTAAGTTTGGGGTTAATATTATGTTTCGGTTTAAAGGGTGGCAGGGAAATTAATGGGTATGAGGAGTTATACCTTGTTAATTATTTGTTACTAGCTATTCGTTCCGGCGTCGCACGGGTGTACATGTATTATATGTATAAACCTTCCTCTAGAATCACTTTATATGTTAAAAAAACCGCTTCAAAATCCGTTGCGCATTTTAGCATACATAGGGACAGAGAGCGACAGCGACTTTGTTTTATACTATGTAATATATTATAATAACATATTAAGATAGGTACAGCTACCTGTCAATAAAAGTCCCGTCAAAATCGGTCCAGACATTTCAGAGATTAGCCGGAACAAACAGATAGACCGACAGATAAATTTTATTTTGATGTACCTATGTGCCGTATTTATATTCATATAGGTTTTTTTGTGGAAAATAAATATTATTATTATTATACATATGCATGTAGTGACGGTTATTTCAATATTACAAACAGACACTCCAATTTTATTTATATGTATGTGTAGTTTAATTACTATCATATCATCGAAGCTTAAATCAAACACAATCATAGCACCAATATTCATATTTAATGACATCATGCATACATAACTCTGTTATCAATTACTGATGTGTGTACCAGAATAATTAAGGGAACCCTATCATTATAAATATCTTGTAGATATAGCCATCCCAAACATACACAATATCCAAAGTACCCTCAATGAAAAACTAACGAAGTATACAGATCTAGCAATAAATTAAAAAAACAATAGAATAGAATAGAATAGAAAATCATTTATTCAAATAAACTTAATTTAAGCATTTTTGAATAGTCATAACAATTTGTTTTTTATCTACCACTCGTTCGGAAAGCTGTCTCATCACAAGAAGAACGAGCAAGAAACTTGTGTGTTGCTCTTTTAAATAATCCTTGTAAGTTTACATTTACAAGTCGAAACGTGTGAATACAAACCACCAACAAGCACTAATTTTTTGGGTCAAATATAATCATGCAATAAGATTAAATCAGTCGTAGTGATAAGAGCAGACCAGTCCCTACAAGCAGCACTCGTTCACGAGTATGACGGAGCCAGCCATCACTGCGCTCGACCATATTTTAGGGAGCCCATTGACGGCCCACCACGCCGCCACATGTCTGGACATTTTAGTGAGCATGACTACTCATTCCACACGACCACGTCACAGCTACAAAAATTACTATATGGTAGTTACAGTATTCGTACTTTACATAAGGATGCATGCGGCAATCAATACAAAAGCCGCTACGCTATCATATATCAAGAAAGCAGTATGAAAATTAAAATTATAACGTTGTCCGCAAATAAACTTATTCTTGCTATATATTGCTATCATCTATAAATTCATCTATGGAATGGAATGCAAACACATAGACACGTTGCAGTTTTGTCATCCTCAGGAATTATACCAAGAAGTCTCAGCAAACACCTAGACACGTTGCAGTTTTGTCATCCACAGGAATGATACCACGAAGTCTCAGCAAACACCTAGACACGTTGCAGTTTTGTCATCCTCAGGAATTATACCAAGAAGTCTTATCAAACACTTCTTCTTCAAAAACTTTCTTGCAAATCCCCTCCTCTACAATAGAACTATTACAAACAGCCGTCATTCTCAATACATGTCGTATTGTAAGAAAATTTCTTTCTTCATCACTTTTATCGTCATCATATAACTGATTCACGCTTGGCTAAGGCTCGTGTTTTTGAATGTATTACGTGAAAAGAGAGATATATGAATCATATAATAAAAAAGAAAATACATGTGCAATAGTCCGTCGCTTCCTAAATGCCACAGAATGAACCATCCAGCAAAATAAAGTAACGAGAGACTTGGCATGTCTCGTCCTCGGTACTAGTCACCAGCTTAAGCTGTAAAAAGAGAATAATAATTATAGTAATAATAAAAACGCTTTATATATAAATAAAAGAACAAATAATTACAAAAAGAAAAATATACGAACATAAAGCGGCCTAATCACACAAAGCGATCTCTAACAGACAATCTGGAAGATAAAAGTATTGGGTAAGAGAAAGGTCGACAGTTGACAACTGATAGCTGCTTTAAACACATTTAAAGAATTAACCGTGAGTAACCGGGCGTACAGAATTTGTAAATAGGTTTAGCAAAAACTAGTTCAGATTGTAGTGGTGAAATGCAAAATGAAACTTTGATCTTGTTTAAACGTTTTAACTGTATTTAGTTCGAACTAAACACGATCAGTTTCCAATCAATCCAGTTGCGATAGATGAAATCCAGTCTAAGGCTGGATTTCACCTATCGCAGTATAAACAAGTTCAAGGAACCGGAGTTCAGCGTAAACTCGAAAAAAAGATCCACGTTGATCTCGTTTTACTTTAAATGGAATTCACCAGCATTATATAGATCGCGTTTACCAAAATGAAGTTTAGATTTTCATTCGTTCACAGTGTTACACGCTCATAAAATAATATTTGATGCAATGGGTAATTTAACTTAAATAATTTTAAGAAATATTTGTAATCCAATCATGTGGTAATTAGGATATTTTTTATAGTTTTTTATTTAAGTTACTGTAGACTACAAAGGACATAACAACAACTTTTACCTATAAACATTATTTTATTGAGGATTTTTTTACACTACTGGCAATTTTCTTTTTATTCCCGATATCATATTGTCAAAAATCTATTGCTGACTATTTGACAAGTGACAGCTTCTTTAATCACGTTTAAAGAGCTAACCGTAGAAAATCGGGTGTTTATAATTTGTAAATGAATTTAGCGAAAACTAGTTCAAATTGTAGTGGTGAAATGCAAATTGAAGCTTTAACACACAATTTCTAAAACGCGTTTAAAAGTTTTAATTGCGTTCAGTTAGAACTAATCGCGATCAGTTTGTTTGGTGAAATCTAGCCTAAGAGTATTAAGGACTGGAGAAAGTAGGGTCAGGTGCAGAGAACGTAATATAGAATTCCTCCTACTAAGCCGATATTATATTATTGACTGATATTTGATACGAGAGTTACCTATAATGAAATGTAGGCGACTTAATATAAGCTTTTCTTTATTCTGCACTGCGTTTCATTATAAGAATATATTGATAATAATAATAGAAGTAGAAATAATCTTTATTCAAATAAACTCATTACAAGCACTTTTGAATAGTCATATTTTGATTCTACCACTCAAATATCTATAATAAATCCATTTATTGCCAATATTAATATAGTAATATAGTTACACATTTATACATATTTATTATGATTGGCAATAGGTACAAACTCAGCTATTACTGGACTGGATCGTCCAGCGCTGGTTTCCAGTGCTGATGCTTGACTTGTACGTCGTACTCATGAAAGTATCTATGTGTGAAGACTGAAAAGTTCAGGATTTGTTTATTTATTTAAACTTTAATGCACAAATACAAAAATGAGGGTACAATGATGGCGGAAATGAAGAAATGGCGTTTTTAACACCATAAGGCATTTTTCCCAGTCGACCATAGGGTAAACCGAGATTAGTGGGCAGTTTAAGTAAATAACATGAATTTTTTTTTTTATTCATTTTATGTATATTATATGGTACTAGCTTTTGCCTGCGGCTTCGCTCACGTTAATTTATCCCCTTAGAGGTAGAATTTATTAAAATCCTTTCTTAGGGAATGCCTACGTCATAGCTTTATGCATACAAAGTCTCAGCCCGATAGGTTTAAAATTGACAAAGTTTCAAACAAACTTTCATCACCTTGGGGGTAGAATTAATCAAAATCCTTTCTTAGCGGATGCCTACGTCATAACATCTACCTGCATGCCAAATTTCAGCCCGATCCATCCAGTGGTTTGGGCTTTGCGTTGATAGATCACTACGTCAGTCACCTTTGAGTTATATATATTTAGATTTAATATCCGTATTATTTTGATTCTTCAAAATTCAAATTCATAACTGGAAAAATGAGCAAGAATGTTGTAGGTTTAATTCCTCGTACGGTGTAAACGTTTGTATTTATGAGTCTGATTGTTTGTGTCTGAGTGTTTTCGATGTATGTATATGTTAAAAAAATATATTTAAGTATTCTATCAATTGTCTAGTATCTATAACACACACTCTGCCGAGCTTGGGACTTGATGGAGTTGTGTGAATTTTCCTGGATTATAATGTTGAGTACATTATTTTTTTTACAGGGTTTAAGATTAATGAAGGAGAGGAAGCGAGTGGCGTGGATACTGCTGCTATTGGCAGTATTGTTCGCATTGTGCTGGATGCCGTACAACATTATGCAATTACTGCTGGACATAAACGCAGTCGATCCTAAGGATCTCAGCATTTATCTACCATATGCCTTATTTATAGGTGAGTACAGTTCTAAACGGCTCGTCTATTATATATTCTCTGGGAAATGAAAATGTACTGTACATTTTAACTACACTAAAAGGCTTTGTTATATTTAAATTTATTAAAATATTGTAAAATACTACCCGTGCGTAGTAAGGTAAATATTTGATAGCTCTGGAGCAGTATAGCAATAATGAGCACAAAATTGTATTAAAAAATATCTATAATATAAAGTAAATTTGGTCAATCGAGAGCGATTCAATTATTACGGGGAAAGAACAACGGGGTTTTTGATTCCAAAAATATATAACAATTTAGATGGGTTACAACGAAACTCTAATTTAAGTAGACCAGTACTGAAGTCGAAATTAAAAAGAGCACTTTTAGATATAGTTTAAAAACAGAAATTGTACATACATTATTGCTAAATTTTTATAAAAACGTGTTTTTATGTATATAGGTAAATATTTGATAAAAATTGAGCGATATCTTTCCAACAAACTGTTCCGCAGTTTGGCGAGTCAATGTGAAAAAAAAATTCTACAGGTAGGAACTGAAAAGCAGTGGTATGTCTCCTTGGATAAACAATGAGTTGCTTAAAAAATATGCAAAAACTTGTGTGTGAAATTAATAGTATTTATATTTCTGAATGTTTTGTAATATTAAACAATGTTACTATTATAAAAAAATTAATGAACAACTAATATTTTAAAAATTCAACTAATTTTGAATAGACAAGAAAATTCTTTATTCAAGTAAACTAAAATTTCAGCACCATTGTATAGTGATTTTTTCGTATTTATTTTAATCTACCGCTCATTCGGAAAACTGTCTCATCACATGAAGAATGGGCACGAAACTTGGGTGTTGTTTTTTAAATGTTGTATCTTCAAACTATTAAATACACAATCAACTAGTTGGATAAGTAGATAAGATTAAATAGGTCGAAGTGTTTTATATAGTCAAAGTCTAAATTGTTTACTCTTATTGGACAGTTACTACTTATGCATGTCTTTTTTCTTACGACCTCTAAGGTTGTTATCAATAGATGATCTACTCAAATAACAGACATTATAATATGTTATACTAGCTTTTGTCCGCGGCTTCGCTCGCGTTAATTTATTCGTTCCATTACTTTCGGTACTGATTAAAACTAATACGTTTGCATTCCGCATAATCGCTTATTTTATCCCCATGGGGGTTGAATTTGTCAAAATTCTATTTAAGCGAACGTCTTCTTCGTAGTAGCTCCAATCTTTAATTTCAGTTCAAAAATTCAGTCGAAAATCTAAGAAGATTTACACCAACTTTCATCCCCTTAGGGGTGAAATTTATCAAAATCCTTTCTTAGGGGATGCCTACGTCATAGAACCTTTATGCATGTAAAGTCTCAGCCCGATCGGTTTAAAATTGATTGAGTTTCATACAAACTTTCATCCCCTATTTTATCCCCTTGGGGGTAGAATTAATCAAAATCCTTTCGGATGTCTACGTCATAACATCTACCTGCATGCCAAATTTCAACCCGATCCGTCCAGTGGTTTGGGCTGTGCGTTGATAGATCACTATGTCAGTCAGTCACCTTTGAGTTATATATATTTAGATGATGAGGATACTGCGTGGTGGTAGGGCGCGGTCACTGATTCAGAAATATAATGTTAATTTGCTGACTGATTAAAACATCCAATGTTACCTGCAATATATCGGGCTCGTACTCCAGGAGACCACCTCTAAATAGCTGTCGCACAGATCACAATGATATATAAAGTACAAACACAAAAACTATAGATTCTATAGAGATTAACTTTAGAGCAGCGTGCACGGTGGTTGATTGCACAAATCAGACAGTTTTTACTTTTTCAAAGTGAATAAATGCTCGATTGAGCTCGCAGTGAGGCGACAGAGGCGGCACTTTACAGGTACATACTTACCCGCTAAATTACAAATATACAAATCTTTGCTGCAAATATAACAGACCAGCGAAATAATATATATAACTAGCTGTCCCGGCAAACGTTTTGCTATTAACAATTAATACCGCTATTAAAAAATAGGGGTTGGTGATAGAAGAGTGAAAATTTAGGGTTGTTTATACATTTTTAATGACACATAATAAAAAATTTTGCCCAAAAAAATAAAATATAATGTTAGAGGTGGACAACCCTTATCACTTAAGGTTATGAAAAATAGATAGTAGCCGATTCTCAGACCTACTGAATATGCATATAAAATTCTGTAAAAATCTGTCAAGCAGTTTCAGAGGAGTATGCTAACTAACATTGTGACACGAGAATTTTATATATAAGATTATTAATGTTGCGGGTGAATGATACGATGTTGTTGGTCGAGACGATGTATATTACAGATGATAATAAACTGACAATATGTACATAGAAATAATGATCTTATATACTAAATAACAATAAGAAAATGTAAGGTGGGGTGACACAGTTTAGACACAGCAGTGCTTAGTAGACAATATTGAATTTGTCTTACTAGACATTATTAAATGCAATTATTATTTTGATGTATCTAGGTGACTGTATCCCATAATTAACAATAAAAATGTTATAAATGTCGTAACTACTGCGTACTATTCTAATCTGTTACAACTGACCTTTATTATCAGTTTCCTGAACAGGTATACTCTCTGAGTCTTCTCATTTATCTGCATTTAAACTTCTGACCTTTAAAACTATAAATTACCTTGAAGTGATAGGCGATTCACTTACTACATTAATTTCAAAGAGACGAGATCCAATATAAACAGCGAATATCAACCTAGTTTCATTGATATAAGAACTCAATTTTGAATGCTAACAACATTATGTTGACAGATTAAATTTTGCTGATAGATAACAAATTTGAACTTTGCCATCTATCGTTGTTGCTATTCACTATTCACTTTCAAAAAGGGACAACAATATGTCAAAACAATTTCGTTAGTTTTGTTGATGGGGTAATGGATGCAGGTCGTAAGTATTAATCTTACGACAGAGTTGTTCGGTAGAGCAAATTATTTACTAGTGGTTGTTAGTCCAAATTCGACCATAATTATACTAATTATAAGTTTGAACATCATGAAACTTATATATTATGATGTTTAATTTACAGATTACTGCTACACAACTATCTTTTTATATTAGCTGTACTCGCGACCTCGTCTAAGTTACTCTTTATTACATCAGCTACCTGCCAAAAAAAAGTTTCGTCAAAATCGGTCCAGCCATTTCAGATATTAGCCGGAACAAACAGACCGACAGACAGACAGACAAAAATTGTAAAAAGTGATTTTTTGGTGTATGTATCATATTTATATTATATATATTTATTCATATGCATGTAGTAAAAAATGATTATTTCAATATTACAAACAGACACTCCAATTTTATTTATATGTATAGATAAGTTTGAAAATCATTAAGGTTCTATATAATTCAGATTGCTACACAACTATCTTTTTATATTAGACTAGCTGTAATCGCGACTTCGTCTGCATGGAATTCAACTTTTTTTTCTAAAGTAACAGTAGCTTATTACTGATGTAAATTTAAGGAGTATGAAATTTTTCATGGCAGGTAGCTGATGCAACCTTCCAAAAAAAAAAATTTCGTCAAAATAGATCCAGCCATTTCAGAGACTACCCTATTAATCTATTCTCAATTTGATCAAAGAATTTAACAATAAACAAAACAGTATATACGAGTATGCCCGAGTATGTAAAATACATACAGTTCAAAACAGTAGTTTTGGCGTGAAATCGAGACAGATAGACAGAGCTACTTTCGCATTTATAATATTAATAATAAAGTAATATTAGTAAGGATGATATCAGAATTGTTATCAAAATCTACATGCCAACTCGAAAATATGTCCTATATTCCTCTCGGATCTGAATATCATTTAGATCTGAGAGCATGTTGGAGATATATGGAGTAGGAGGAAGTAGAAACCCCATGTTAACTCGAGGATACCTTGGCATATGACTTATATGACTCATCTGATGATAAATCATAGCAAGATCTAGGATGTAGCGCGCTTACAGAGAAGAAATCTATTTACCATAGACTTGAAGAATCTGAGGTTGTATTTCTCAGGGAACACAAGTTACAAATTATCAACGTCAACTGTTTTATAAAAATTGAAATTGAGCGTAACATTGGAATAAATCTCAACATCAACCAGCAATTACTAATTACCGTTTCTAATTAGTGTCACCAAAGTTTCCTTCATAAAGTTACAGTAACTTTCACGGCTTTTGTGACTCCTGTTTCCTTAGAACTGATGGAGTTTATATTTGTAATAATAAATAACACTAGACAATTAACACAGCGCCATCTAGTCCCATGGTAAGCAGATACTTAGATATTTTTTGTAAATACATATATAATATAGGTAGAGAACATTCAGACAATTTAATTCAAACAAATAATTATGCACATGAATATGTTGCACTGTGCGAGGAATCGAACCCGCGATCAGCGGAAATAAAGCGCTGTGTTAAACCGTAAGACCATCGAAGCTGTCAAATGTTGAGAGTGTTGATTGTGTGATGTTGAGAGAGGATTTTATTTTTAGGACCCATTATTTTATGTAAGTATGGCAAGTACGCTATCTGATAGTAAGTGTTGATGTTCCAGGATAATAATACGTTGTTGTCATTTGAGACGATGTATCTTACAGAGAGAGTGTGAACTAACAAAATTTACACAAAATATTGATCTTACATACTATTTTGTCCCATAGATTGGCGCCCAAACAGGAACAATAACTGTATCTCATAGAGTGGCACCCAAATAGGGATTGTAACCGTTTCCCATAGATTGGCACCCAAACAGGGACAATAACCGTCTCCCATAGATTGGCACCCAAACAGGGACAATAACCGTGTCCCATAGATTGGCGCCCAAACAAGCACAGTAACTGTGTCCCATAGGTTGGCGCCCAAACAGGAACAGTAACTGTATCCCATAGATTGGCACCCAAACAGGGACAATAATACTAATAATAACCTTAGG